CTCACACACACTCCTCCACTTACCAAAGCACAGTTATCTGCCATCATCTTTCTATCTCGGTGGCACCTTGTTCAGAGAGGATGATGTGTGTGTGTAGGTGTGTGTGTGTGTGTGTGTGTGTGTGTGTGTGTGTGTGTGTGTGCGCTCCCCTCTCGCCTGCATTCGTCACGTTTACAGTGTGTGTTAATGTATCTGGTAATTATGATGTGGCATCTGATGTGACCCAAAGGTGTGGTTGTTGATTTGATTCCCCCTCACTGTGTTTAGCCACAGAGATGTTCTCCAGGCCCCGCCGACGTTACGAGGCCTGTCTGGGAAGAGCTCTTCGCCGCTTTTTTTTTTTCTTCCTCTCCTCCTCCTCCTCCTCCCCCATCCCCTCCCTCGCCTATATTAGCTCCATAAATCCTGTTCTAGGCGGATTGTTATGGTCATTGTGTGTGCTGTGAGCGATGGTTATTATCTGCCTGCTCTGCTCACACTGCTTTATGCGTCTCGTCTGCGTTCTCCCTCTTCCTCTCTCTCTCTCTCTCTCTCGCCTCCTGCCTCCTCTCTCCTCTGCCCCGTTGTTCGGCAACCACGTCCGCTCCCCTCGTTACTCCACCTTACTTCCCCTTTCTGCCTTTTTCTCGTCTCCCCTCTCTCGCCACTTTCGCCTTCTGTCTGTTGCCGTCTGTTATCTCTCGCTCCGGATGCAAAGCGAGCCGGTTTTTTATCTGCAGAGCTGCACCAGCACTTAGTCGCAAGTTGTTTATGTGTAAATATACCAATCAATCAGTTTACAGTCATGCAGACTTAGGCTTCGGCGAATATCTCATCCTCTGAATCTGTGACGCTACAGATTTGTCCTTTATGCCGGTGATGGCAGGTTTAACTTCAGCATGTTCTCCTGCCACAGTAAGTTTGGAATGAGAGTATAAGAACCTGTTGCAAAAACACATTTCCTGTCGACGTTCATGAAGAAATCAGTGCATTGGAGTGGTCACTAACTGCTAAAATTAACCTTTTGGCTTTTTACAAACCAAATTTACTGAACTTGTACCGTGATAAGCTTCATATACAGGCAGCCGAGGTTTTCTAAAATGAAAATGTGAATCTTAAAAAAAACCAAAACAAAAGCGATGTCTTTGTTTTTCCGCTTCCCACAGGGCCCGGAGCATTGTGTGAAATGCCTTCATTTCAAGGATGGTCCGAACTGCGTGGAAAAGTGTCCCGATGGCCTGCAAGGTGCCAATAGCTTCATCTTCAAGTACGCCGAAGTCAACAATGAATGCCATCCCTGCCACACCAACTGCACCCAGGGGTGAGTGCAGTCAGGACAAGGACGAGTCAGAGCTGTGGGGTTTAATGCTCACTGCACCATGGGGAAAGAAAAAAAAAACAAAACAGGACATTTCAGTTGTTTCTTCATAAATCTGAGGAGAGTCCAGTCTGTGAAGGATAAATGAAAAGCAGTAAAATCCAGGATGTCATTATTTTTTACTTGATAAAACCAAGTACCATGAATCAAGCTAACATGCCTGGTGGTCCATCAACAACATGGTTACAGAGAACGTTTACTTGTTTTTACGATTTTAAATTCTTAACCATAAAATTACAAGTGAAAACATGCAAGAATCAAGTTCGATCCATTATTTCTTCACAATTAACCCTTAACTTAACCTCTGCCCTGTTTTAAACCTGAGTCTCATCTAAAATCCTTAAACCAAGTCCTGAAGCTGTTGCATCTTTTAAAGGCTCCATTTGGTGAAAATCTATATTTTTGCCTTGTTAACATGTCCAGTTTGTGTGTTAAATATATACATATATTTCTGTACTAGAAGCCATTTCAATATCATGGCTGAGAATTTCCACCTTGAAGCTGCAGCCAGTCACTATTTTTC